AAATCTCTTACAGACACTTGACATGAATCTCGCAAGTCGCTATTTCTTATTTAGGATATAGATTAAAGACGAATTACGGGTATAGTTCCATAATCAGCAATTTTTTTATTGCATTGAGTAAGATCAAATCGTTCCCAAATCCTTATTTATATTCAAAATACTGATCTGTGTACGTTTTAGCTATATTTAACTCTCCTGGATCGATTAAACACTTTCAAATATTTTAAATTGTTGGAAATGCGTCTGATGCATGTAAATTTCATTCAACATACTTGAAATTTCTACATATAAATTACTATGCAAAGTAAGCTCTTCAACAAAATGGGGCTTACTACTAAAACTTTTGAATCAAATTTTTAATCCCACTGGTTATTAAAAGTCGTCGAGCGAAAAATAGTCTGATATCAAACGAGTATAATAGGAGACTCATTCAAGTCCCACTACAACAACACATTCTTTCCTACATTATTAGAATCCGCTACTTAAAATTATATTACTACATAAAGCAGCCAAAGTGTTCGCAGACATATTTTTTCTCGTGGAGATTCGAACTAAAGTCCTTCGAATCAATACTCCAGACACGCTACCGCTTTACCATCACTGGAACGACTATACTAAGCTTTCCAAACACTTGAATAGTAAGAAGTTTCTCCATTATTTCCAAATTATTCAATTTTCGAACACTCAGAAAAATAAACGAAAATGGGACCAGAACCATTTATTCTGCCGTCCTTTGCAATATACGAGGTGAAATAAAAGAAAACATTTGGAGCCCTTTTTAAGAAATAATTGTTTAAAAATTACCTAATGTTCATGCAAAATCATGCAAAACCTACAATATGAGAGTTTCTTTCGAAAAAAAAACACCCATTTTCCACGCAGATTTACAATTCTTTCTCTTTACTACATAAACATAGTAATGTGAGAAAGTAAAAAGTGGTTTAGAGAAGGAAAACCCTAACATACCAGACGGCAGAACTATGTGATAATGAGCTTTGAGAACTTATGGACGTCATATGATTATTTGTGTAGTATTGCGTTGAAAAATGAGATATGGTGGAGCTCCGGGTGATTGCTTGAAGCACGATATATCTCATTAATGATTCGGAGCAAGCAAGAGGAACATCGCACAGACCACTGCTTCCGAAGGAACTTCCCTTTCTGGATTGTAAGTACAAAAATAAGAGGTAGGAAATTTAGAATATGTTACATTATTTTCAAACTGCATCGTTTAAAGAAAACAAGAATTGATATGATATAATGAAAATAAAGTAAGATATACATTTTGCACTTTGACAATATGAGGGGAAAATTTAAAAAGGTTTGTGTTCTTTCATTACCGTTTGTGTAAGAGGAAAGCATTATTTTTTATCAATGCCATTTCTTTTGTAATATTCATCCTTGGAACATTTAGTTGACTAACATACTACCGACATGCAAACTAACAATCGACAGGAATATCTATGTCAATAGCAGACGGAGTTGAACATGATGAAAAGACATGAGTGAACAGGTCTAACGCACAGATTTTGGCTCCTTCTGAGCAGCACGAGAAACGCCACGAGGCATGTGACCGGGCACTTTGAACAGACAGGACAGTGGCTGGCCGCCAAGCGAGTGTTGAGAAACATTTTGAAAGCGGCACACAATGAGAATTTTCAACAACGACAACAAAAAATAACACGAGGGTGTTATTGATATAAAAGATGCAATATTTTTAAAAACGCTTTAAACGATTGTTCCTGTTTCAATGAGTTGTAAGAAGGCAATAATTTTGGTATCGGACTGCATTTAAAATTCTCGCTAATATTGGGATCATCGTTTTCCATTACAGTCGTCTTAATAGAAATGGACAATAGTTCCTCAATTCGTACGAAATTAACGTGTCGCAATGCGCGTATTGTTGTTATGTTCTCCGCTTTGCAATGTCTGCTTTCCGTGTCCAATAGAATAATACATCCTGTGTAAAGTGACAAACAACCGAAGACCACCGTATCGAAACCAATTCATTCCAAAAGTATGTGAATCATAACTAGAAATTAGAAGATAGTTCAGAGAAGAAAAATGAAAAAAATCAATTTTTTAACATGGTCTTACAAAGAAGACAAAAATATGTATTATTTTTTTATTATAATGAAAAATATTATCAAGTAAACAATTGAATAGGGTATTTGAAAAGGGAAGAAAGTCCTTCTTCCATAATTCTGAGAAAACTTAATAACATCAACAATTGGCATCTGGGACATTTATGTTCTCCATAGAAGTTCTAGGAGTAGTCGTTATTTTTACTTAGGCTACTCTGTAACTTCAGATTTGCATTTCTGTGATGTACAGAACCGTTTTTATACCCCGGACTTATTTACTTTATAAAATAATAATGAAATATTAAAAATAAATATGAGACAAGGTTGTCTTCTTAAAATATTTCGGTCGCAAGTTTTTGAAGTCTATGATATCATCGGTGACTATTTATTTTGACAGTAAACAACACTTCCTCGCTGGTAATACTGGTTTTTCTGTGTGAATATCAGAAACTACTCCAGGACGTCTTTCTCTTTCCAGTCATTAAAACTTTTAGTTGGCAACACTAACACTAAGCTGGACACGTTTTTACACTGACCTAAAGCTTGAATATTAATAAATAAAAGTATATCCCAACTCCTTTTACGAAAAAATGGACTTTTTTCTTTTAATATCAAGGATTCAATTAAAGGATTTAAACAATAAGAGAAATGAATGCATGTTCTTTAGTTGTCAGGAAGTCATGGAAACGGAAAAACTACTATGGAAACTGCTTTTCATTCAACTGTTACAAGCGTTCGAGTGTACCTCCAGCAACTTGGTGCAATTGAACGTGTTGTTAAGCAGCCAACACAATGCAACGCAGCACCGTTTGATGTCGGTAAGTTTGCCTCCCGAAGTGCTTCGTGCACTACTGGCAGGATCGCTAATTTTACAGACCTTGTCTTTTCGCCGTTTCAGCAGTTTAATAAACTTTCACTTCAGTAGACGATAGGTGATATTTTGGTGAATAAGTGTGTAAGAATCTGAACGTTTAGATCTCAGATTTCACAAATGCTGAAAATTTTCGTTTTCGCTCTGTTCTCTATATCGACTACGCCGGCCTGCCCAACTTGCTTCAAACTAGCGTGAGCTTTTGTGCTGACTCCGAGCGAAGATGGGAGAGGGTCGCTTGTGGTGGGAATGGACGATGTTGAGCAGGGTCGTCCAGAAAGTTGTCCTGAAGCAAGGGCAACTTGCTCCAGACCCCAATTTTTTTTCATTCAAAAGTAATCTATAATATGGTGAAGGAAATAATTTCCACAAAAGTTTTAATAATTTTTATTAATAATTTTCCAGAGTTAACTTTCGGGAAAACACTTTTCCCATCCTCAGTGGATCTTGCCCAAGCAATGTGGATCTCCCATGAATGTTAACAACATGGTCAAAAACTGTGAAAACAGCAAAATATGCTGGTTACAGCTAGATGGCAGCCATAGTTCACAGTTACCGTACCGTTCAATGCAATAGTGGTTGCTAATGACCTAGATGTTGAAGCGACCTAAAATTTTTAAAAAAATTACAGTAACTGTATTGATTAATTTTTATTGAAAATTAAACTTAAAACAAACTAAACATAATAAGAAAGGAAAAAATATTTAGCCTCAATGCCCGAGCACCCATAGTAATCTCAAAAGATCATTACTTAACTCGATGTGACAATATGTAATCTACTACGCCAATTCAGGTTTGGCTCCGTCTCATCCACATTAAAAGCATACCAACCAACAAAGCGTTCTTTACACAGAGTGAAATGGGAATGAACAGAACCAATGTGTAGGTGGCTTAGCGGTTTAGAAAGAGCAGATAGCATCCGCCCTGGGCATTTGCAGAGAATATTGATATAGCATCAAAGCATTAAACGCCCATTCAAATGAATTCCTAGGAAGAAAACAATATTTTGAAGAAACGATATTTTATAAACATATGTGGTGAAAATTGTATTTTCCTTCCTTCTTGTGTGTGGTACTGTGTGGTACATACTGGCACTACTACAAGTCGCCACTGACTTTGCCGATCAGTGATCAGGTAGTGTTTAGCTACTGACCCCCGAAGGACACCTTGATCATCAATGAACGTCTTCAAAATTTCTCTGACTTCTTGGGGGTCGATATGAACCCCTTTGGGGACCTCTGATAAAAACTCTTTAATATTAGTTTACTTGTTAACTAACATATAAATTTCAATAGTTATTCAAGAATTGTTCATCTGTAAATAATGTACTAGCCGGATAAGACAGAAAAAAGGCAATCATTTCGATTCAAAATAAATTTTCATTGGTTCCTAGCCCACTCAGCTTCGAAAAACATGATTTTTCACTACTTTTAGGCATTTATGACCGTACGCTTTATTTAAATAAACACCCTTCATAATATTTTTTTTACGAATTATGTTACTGACTCACTATATTTTCCTTCAACCAAAATTTTTGAAATTTCTGTTAATAACAATCAATTGTTTGTGTTACTGTCTTCAAATATGCAACTTTACTCTGATTTCTGATCTGACTTTGCGATGACCACACCCAAATAATTTTCAAGAATATTGCATTTCATGGTCTAAAAATAACAAAATCTATTACATTTCTTTCGAATATCACGCCTTCGGTTTTGCGCGTTTCCGCACACTGCTCAATACGAAGGCTTGAAAGCGAAATATAATTTAGATTGCCCCTGTGTGATGCGCTTCATAGTGCGGAGTCACTGAGCGGAGTCACTGAGCGGAGTCACTTGCGGAGTCACTGAGCTGAAATTCCAGACCTTTCGGAGCAAATTTAAATCTTCGTATTCAAAATACTTTGCAATACTTTTTAAATTACTTTTAAATGTTTTCTCATTTAACTTCCCAATTTGTTCTTTTAAAATAATAAATCTTTCAAAATGTTTTAAAATGCGCTGCATGGCTTTCTCGTATTTAATACGTGCCGGGTTACAATCCCTTAGGTCCAAATGCCTAGATCTAAATTTTAGAAAACTTGAAACGGTACCATACGCCTCAATAGGATGTTACAAAGACGAGCCCCATTTCACGATAGAATTGCTCTCTTCCCGCTCTAATTTGCATTGTAATACTTTCCGCTTCTTAGTTCCCACGATTTCTGTTTCAAGGCAAAGTTACAAAGTGTGGGAGCTAAAGACCAGGAAGTGTATCTGGATGTCTCGCTCTGGGAAGCCAAGCGACCAGAAGGGACCTACCTACTCACACTGGGTGCTGAAACCGCGGGTGAGTAAGTTGCCATATTTTGGCTGCCTCCTGTTTGTTTCTTTTCAATTAGAAATAAGAAACCACTTATAATTTGTTAGATAATTTGAGCAAATAGTCACTGAAATGTATTTTTTATTATTATTATTTTAATTATTAATATTATTAACATAATTATTTTACTAATTTTATTATTGCTAATTCATGACCGTTATTATGAATTTACCGATATTAGAAATACAGAAAAAACGAGCTTAATTCCAGACATATTTTAAATCAAATATCCCGTGAAATTAGTCATAAGTGCAAGTTGTTATTAGTGTTGGTGAAAGTCAAATGCTAACTATTTGTAAAGGCAAATGAGCTACAGGTTTTACTTATTAACTCATATCCTGCCCACGTGAATTAAACAACTTACTGCCAAGAGTTCATAGAGGATGATTTTTTATTGACTTTATTACCCACTAAGCTCAAGAAAACGTACACAGAGAGTGAAACAACATTTATGTCCAAAGCAAAGCAAGGGACCACTTCAACGGGACGAAAAACCTTATCGAGATAGTCCTTGTCACAGAAGCTGGATACAATACTCGTTGAAAGCAAATTTGGCTTTGTAGGATTAAACAGATCAAATTAATACATTAAATATCATTGTGAAAACACTACTATTTTCCTTTTTGATGCTCAGTATAGTTTCTTATGGTTAGAAACAATTATGCAGTAAAATTGATTTTACTTGTCACTTACACTAGTGTATCGATTTTAATCGTTTAATGTCATTTGGCAATGTGTTGTAAAATAATGTATACGAGTATGTAGTAACGATTGATACTGACTCGTAATGAGTACGGTTACAACGTCAAGTTTTTAACTGTAGACATAAGAATTGTCTGAAAATATGTTCACACTTTTGAGTTTGTCATTTTTGACAAGAAACAGTGATTCAAAAATGAAGATGCAAGACAACAGTAGAATTAATAATGAAAGGCTTAGAAGAAACAAGTGAGTGGGATTTGCCTATTACTCGTAAGGGAAAGTAGTGTACCTTGGACCTATATGAACTGTCAATAGTGGTCTCCGTGCAGCTGAATTTGTTTATATGGCAGTTGAGCTGCAGTAGAAGTTATTAAAAACGTAAAATCACCTATCAAATTAAAAATTCTTCATTTGTTTCTCTTAATTATAGACTAAAAATTTAGAAGATCACATTTGAAATTAAATTAATTCCTGATTCTGTATTGGTTTAAGAGCAGAACAACGAGTGTGAAATAAAGTTCATTTTTGCCTCCAAATGGTAAAAAGACATGCACTTCAATAAGACTATGTGTTGTACTTTGGACCTATCAAAAATGTAAATTGAACATGTCCGACGTACAATACTTCACAAATTATAGTACTATTATATTTTATGAAGTTTATTTACGTTTATCTTCGCAACTAAATGTGAAATACCAATGTTTTCAAAATGTTATTTTCAGAAAAAATGCCCCGAATGCAATGTGTCAAGGGAAAACCTGTAATCAAGGAGGACATTGAAAAAGACGCACCTATGGTATTGAAAAACATTAGCTTTTATCATTATTTATTATTAATACAATAAGTATTATATTAATTAGATTAAAATTATGGTGTGCAGTTATTTGTGTCCATTTATTTAAAATATATGTCTCCGATGAGTAAAATACGTACTTGCGTATTTCGCGTAATTCTCATGGTTCATGTAATACCCATGGCATAATGGAACATATACATAGTAACAGCACAGAAATAAATCAAACTGTATTGAATACGACAGTAGAGATTGTAGAAGTGAATGAACGACCTCTCGATTAATTGTCAGAGCGAGATTTTGCGATGAACTGCACAGGCATGCATGTCTGCTGGTGTCGGTGTTTCATGTTTGATCTTGCGTTTTCAATCTGAAGTCGACAGGGGTTAAATGTTGCGATCACCAAAAACGTTTTGTAGAAGCATGTATGAAGGTAGCTCGAAAATATTGAGCGGCAAGTTCAAATATTCCGAAGCTGCAAAGTTATGTACATTCTAAGGCACATATTTATTAACATATTTTGGTGCAGTGAAAGTACAACAACGGTTCATGGACTACCACTCTTTGGCTGACTTACCAGGGCTGTACAAATTGCATCGAAGAGCAGCGACGTGGCCGGAGGCAAATTCCGTGTGCATCTCGGAAGGTAAAGATGCCTGCGTTCATATTCTGGACGAGGAGTGACAAACTCGATTGCGGAGCGTAGGCGGATAAGCAAGCTTATGCCTTTATCCATCATCTGAGATCAAGCTGATCCGAACTAGATTGCCATTGACTTCCATTATCTGAAATATGTTAGGGTTATCGTGTTAAGTGCATGGTTGCAGTTGAGATCATATTCAAGTGAGGTGGTGGGCAAATCTCAATCACCGGGATTGGAACTCGTGCCCTTCGGTTACGCAGTAAGTCTTCTTTCTCACCTCCGCTCGGTAATCGAGTAAGCAGTCGACATCATTGTCATCATTATCGTCCAGCAACAACATTTTCATGTGTGGAGTAGAAATTTACATCACAATAAATTGGAATTCAAATATTGGTCCCACAAATCACGAAGTAACTGAATGAAAAATCTAAACTGAATCTACAACAGTGATGGTATTGTAATAAAACCTTTTCTGGCATTAATTTCTACGATTACGCAGCATTATTATATCGCAACTTCCATCTTACGAATAGGTCTGATTCCATTAATGGAAAATACATTTATTAGGCTTCCTTATGGTATATTTTATTCGTGAATGTTTGCCGAGTTTTAGTACGTTTAAAATTCATCGAGACAAGATGTACTAACCAACGCACGGCGCTTAAAATAATAGTGTGGGTCTCATTTTAGTTGAACTCTCTAAATTTTCGAAAATTGCAAATTTAAAAAAAATGCCAGACAGTATGAGCTGTTGCAGCAACATTATTTCAGTACAACAATACTTTCTCTCCTAATGATAAATTGACATTGTATTTTCTACATAGAACATTATAATACTAAATAAGTTCATAACAAATGTATGTTCCTGTAATTAACTTTTCGGAATAGATTGCAATCTTTCCAAATATCAACGATATTCAAAACGTTTCCCCATGCTGTAGAAATATTCCATAATCGCATGTAGTTTCTTTCAGTAAACGATCTCTATCCTCAATCACGCTCATATCTCGATTAATACATGGAATATTTTCACGCTGTAATTTGCTCATCAGCCATTCAGCATATCTACCATTCATCATAATAGTATCTCTTCTTTAGATTCATGCAAATATTATTCAATTAAAAGCATAGAGAGCACTACTACAATCCTCAAACCCCTCTAGGTCTAAGAAAAACTTTAAACGTACCTTAAAGCAAACTAATAATAATGCATATGCCTAAAATTATGTGATTACTTAATAAAAATATATTGAATGTGTTTTGAATAATTGAATCTGTTACTAATTATCTTCGTAGGAGCACAACTACTGGTCCCCGACTCAGCTAAGGAAGCGCTAACTGCAATCAAACTTCTCATGGGCCAACCGCCACCGCCTGGAGTGGATCGCTCGACCTACCTTTTCGTCGGAATCACTGATTCCGTTCAGGAAGGATCGTACGTTTCTGTGACTGGTTAGTACAATGACATTACATTTGAACATGTTAAAAACCGGCAGATTGTTTAATGTTGGTGGTAATGGCGGGTGTTATTGAGTATGAACCAATGTGCTTTGGTTATGGTTCTTAGGAAACGATTTTGAAACGTCTCAAGTCTAAGTGTGAGAGATTTGCCTGCTCAGCCCCAAAGAGGACTGCGTAAGTTAGCATTGGTCTGATTATAGCTTTGTAAAGATGGGTACCGGTTTGAATTTGGAGGTTTCCAGGTTTGGGGTTTCCAGGTTAGTCAGCGATACAAACCACTCAAAATGATATAGACAAAGCCATATCTTTGCTAACGCGTGCCATTCTCGATACCCTTGATTTAACCACACCCTTAATCTATAACTTAACCCCCCTTCCCCTATTCCTACAATTCCCCTAGAACTCATCTATCACAAGAGAACTATTCAATATCATTATTATCGTCATCGATCCACCTCTTGAACCTTGGTAAGAATCCCAATCCAAAGTATCGTAAATGTTTACAGGAAAAGCGTGCTCGCGCTTGGTTTTGGGTGATTTTATCGGAATGAGTTCCTTATAATCATTTTTCATAAATTTCTGGACGTTTTTTTTTGTTTTCTTTCACGAAGTGATATACTGAGAAAAAATACGATCATAACTTTTTTTTTTCAGGAAAATCATTGAGCGAATTGGGATTTAACACGTGGTCTCCAGGTCAACCAGACAAGGGTGATCATTCAAACTGGGTTGCCATTTATACAGACGGTAAATATCACGATATACCTAATACGTGGAAACTTTCATTCATGTGCAAGGCACCTCAGTAAGCACAAACCCATAAAATGGAAATAAAGTTGTACGCAAGTGACTTACATCAATCACATCAGTTCTTTACTCACTCGAAATACACCTTCCTAAAATACATTAAGTCATGGTTGAAAGTTCATGTTCATTTCATCTCAATTATAGGTTTGAACAGTTTGAATTTTCTTACAGGTGCTGTTTCACTGTCAGACATAATAAATTTTTTTATAATTTTAAATGTCAATATTTGCTCATAACTTGCGTAAGAAATACACACATTGATGCATTCCACTGAATACAGTATCACAATATATTTGCATCAGCTCTACATTGAATGGACTCCAATTGGTGTCGTGAATAGTATTTGTAGGACACTTCGTGCTGTTTCCTTGGGTTCGAGTAACCTAATCATTTCTCGAAGAGCACTGTGAAGAAAACAGGAGAACAAGAGAAGAGGAGAAACGGAAAAACACAAATATTGCTCCTAGTCAATTAGTTCTTACTGTGATTTAAAACAGTTTAACGGAAAAGCAAAACATGAATGTTAGTCTCCAAAGTGCCAGTTAGTCGAAATGGGGAATGTTTCTGTATGACAGACCTGTAAGATCTTGAAATTTAATGCGAATTAAATGGTGACAGCAATTTATCCCATAAGGAAGCGGACGAGTATGCAGTTTTCTTTAGAGTTCCTCCTGAAGTTTTGATTCTCACTACCATTGGATTCAGTGTATTCTTGGCTATCTTGGCTATATGAGCCGCGTCTCAGTTAATTGGACTGACTGAACTATACTGCAGCAGTATAGCTCTGAAGAAGGCCACAGCAAGATGGCCAAAACGTCAGTCCAATTAACTGAGACGCGGCTCATCCCGGATAGCCAAGAATGCATTGACTCCGGCCGCGGAAGCCTACGAACCCACGTTTGGATTCAGCTCTACACAGGGGCGCCCAGAGAAAACTAGGGGCCTGGGGCAGACGATCCAAGAAGGTCCCTTATTTCAAACAAAAAAACTTCCACCTTTGGCCAATTCATTAACAAAATTCATTTCTCTATGCATCAGAATGACATATACGTTAAATTTGGATTATACGTATATAAACATATTTTTCATTTCTTTTGCATGAAGAAAACTTCGGGCCCCCAATTAAGTCCGGGCCTGGAGTAAGGTGCCCCCGCCTCCCTCCTTCTGGACGCCCCTAGCCCTACAGTAGGGGAGGGGAGGAAAGACTTTGCTCACATTGCTGAAAGAGAGGAAACTGAGAGGTGCCTTCCCGAATTACTGTCTTCATTAGAGTCAACGTTAATATGCAAATCAACAATTTCAGATCACAACTGAACATCCATTTATAATTTAAAAAGTTTGGATTCTATATTGGAAATTTTAATGTACTATAGATGTGCATCCGCCAGAATATTACATGTTATACGAGTATCCCAGGAAGAAATATATCTCAGAAGGGGAAAATGGTCACACACTGACCAGTCATTCTTTCTTACGCAAAAATTATCGGTAAATTTGATATAATTGAGCAAACAGTTACATTTCATTGAAAAATATTTTTAAAAAACGTAGTGTATGGTCAATTTTGTAACAAAGAAAATTATCCATGAAAATAATTTTTTAACAAATTGGTTTTCTTAGTTTCAAATGTGTCAAAAGCGTGTTTCTGTTCGTTTATAAAAACAGTGTGATGTTCAAAATAAATAGTGTAGTTTCCTTGTAGTATTGTATTATATGTGCTAGGTTATGTGTATGATTGATTCAGTAAGTCACAGTAAGTAAAAAAAGAATTTCCCATTCTACAAGACACATGCAGTCCTTCCATAATCTAAAGAAGAGCATGGAGGCAGCTCAGGTATTTGAAAGATGAAGGGATGATATCAACAACCTACACAGCCCACAAGAGGATCACACCTTCAGTGGTACACATAAACCACAATATGTTGTTTCATATTTGTGGTGATATTAAGGGTTCTTGAATGAATAGTTGTAGGTACCTTTGAGGAAACAGTTCTAGACAATACCCAACAACAATACTAGAAGTATGTTTTAAATATTGTTAAAAACTGTTTTACAATTTTGACATTGCTACAGTGCATCTGCTGTTGAACGAATTCATCTTCTGTATAACTTTATTCTTCATAAAATATATTCTAATTATCCAATTATTATTCAAAATAAACTATATCTTCATGAGACCGTCTAATTAGAAACGTTGGAAAATAAAAACTGATCACGAAGGAACAACGTGTGAATAAACATGGGTATGTATGTAGCAATGGTAAGTATGATATCAGGTAACTGTCAGGATTGCTGATATCATAGCAAACTAACCACAGAATGTCATCTTAATAATATTAATTTAAATGATACGTCCGTTAAAGGGGTTTCGTCAGTAATAAAGAAAAATATTCCTAGCTGGCCAACGAAGAATGCTACGTTTGTTACTTTAAACCTTATTCATGAAAAACAAATAGTTTAATAGATTTAATATTTTGGAAAGTGATGAAAAATAAAACTGAATGCATGTAGGGAACTGTTTTGAATTTCGAATAATGTTGAAATAGTTTATGAATATTTCAAACTTTTGTTATTTTATTATCTTCAGCAGTAGCATAGACTGGGTGAATCTAGCCTGTTCCGGCAAAGGTTTTTATGGAAGATCATCTCTTCTTTGGTCTTCCTACTTCTCTTTTCGCTTTTGGGAATACGTCTGATTGGGCAATCTTTCATTGATCATTCTTTGTAAAAGATATATCAAGTTATTCTATTCGTATTTATCTTTTCTTGTAAGATGGTAATTCACAATTCTCCTCTATCTTCTCATCATTTCTGAATTTATTATTTTATATTCTATTTTACGCTGAGTTGTCACAGCTACTCTCTTATGAGAGAAATCAATTTTGTAAACACTTTCATATTTTTGATGGATTTATGTGCCTCAATTATAATTTAAAATACTATACAGAGATATTCCATAACTTGGGTCTAATACCTATCTACGAATTTGCTAGTAAAATAATGTACAAACATAATCCTACTAACAAATTCAAACAATTAAAACAAAACAATTCAAACGTTTACGTGTCTTACGTTCGTTCGTCTGTGAGTCTGTCCCTGGTAGCGCCTAAACTGTTCGCACGATTTCTCTCACGAATTGATATTCCCTGAACAATTTAAATGAACAGGAGGCTCTGCCTCTTTGAAATGAATACCGTGAGTTTTCGGGAAGTCTCAACAACATTTCAATTTTTTTTATCACTCGATATTTTTTATTAAACTTTGAATTATAATCCTTGTATAGCGTAAAAGCCGCTAATAGAATGAGACAGGTTTTATTTTCTTAGAAATCACCAATTTTTCTAAAATTCCAAATGTTCAGATTTCTTATAGGTGTCTTCCTTCAACTACAATGTTGAAAATTAATGAAATCTGTTATTCAAATAGACATATCAAAATGAAATCATGTGAAATTTTTCAAAAATATAATTAGTGTTTGCGTAGATTTAGGTAAAATGTAGGCCATTTATAAACAATTATTTCCTAAAAGAAATTGGTACATTTTTCTTTAAATATTCTCCTTTTACGTATTAAAGCAGTAAAACATGGTGCTAGTTCCATTTGCGGTAAACACTCTTTTCAAAAATTGCAAAATGTTAACATCGCAAACTTCAAATTTGAAGATGGAGTTTTTTGTTCTAAAATATGTTTTAAAAAATCAGATTTTTAAAAAGGATGATGTAATTTTTTTTTGAAAAACACAACTAGTAAAGTTTTTCGTAATTTCTCCTGGAAGTTAATTTAAGTAATAAAAAAACTTTGTCCACGGATAGCGCAAAGGACTTAAAAATGGCACCGTTCCGTTTTTGTTGAATTCTCTAAATTATTGAAAGTTATAAACTAAGAAATTATGCGATAAAGTACGTGCTGTTGTAGTACCTCTTCATTAATGATCATTTTCCTTTAACGAGCAAACAGGTAAAAAGACACACATTAATGCGTGTAAAAGATATTTTAAGTCTAATGATAAATTTTAAAAATAATCAAAATTTCCTTCGCGAAAAGTGTATCTATGCGGTTTTCTAGGCGACAGCTGCAACCTTCTTAGCGGTTGCTCTGAACCTGAGACTATTAAACTTTCGTGATTTCATCAAGACATGGATACCCTCGCGGCCAATGGCTTACGTCTAATACCAAAGTTGGGGGACGTTCTTGACACCTGTCCCGTTATTAGCCTTCGGTGCCCTAGGAAGAAGCCAAGGAGGATGTGATACTTCAAGTACAAGGGCAAAGAACAGAAGCGGTCGAACAGATATTTTAGGTTATGACACAGATGAAGCGCAGCTACAAGGTCCAGCATGCGATTACCCCAACCGCTCAAATTGAACGAAGGACATTATCTTTCCTTATATGAGAGCTTTCTTTCCAAATCACACAATCACTAAAAATACTGTATTTACAGGAAAAACGAATTTCTGCTGCCATCGCTTCCAAACAAATATAAAATAGGATTATTATCTTACATGTTTTGTAAGTTTTTAGCACTTAGAAAATTGATAGAGATGGCATTATGAAGCTTTATATTGGTGGGGATTTACTTGTGAGCATGATTTTGGGGACGTTTCTTTCTCCAAAATTACCATTTTTTGATTAATAGACAGCAATAAGTTCCGCACTGCCAATATCTTGCCCGATGTTACCTTGTAACTGTGAATTTTTACTTGCTACTGGGTTTTTTAATAATGCAAATTATTTAAGCAGGCATGTAGAACTGCGCCCGCACGAGCTCCATGTCCGCCCGTGAAGAGCAGCGCTCTTGCTAGCACAGGCGACTTACCCCGACAACGCTCTTATTTTCCCTCGAAATCTAGAAACTCTAGCTGAAGCGGGGATGGTACGCGCAATGCGCGATCGAAATATCACTACGAATGGTTGCTTCAAATGACAGCAAGTTTGCCGGATGTTTCCAATCAAGTAACCGAGATTTGAGCTATCTTTATGTACTTCACTACTTATTACATAATTTCGTGTTTATTTTCTTTTAAATTTCTGCATTGAATATTCATTTCGCCAAGAGGTAAAAATATGTATGAATAGAAACTTTCTTTGCTTTTTTGTTTGATTACGTTTTATTAAAATTTTCTGTTATTTATGTTCTATTTAAAATTCTTTATACAGTAGGGCTGCAAATCTGCTACTAAAAACTACTCTTACAAATATTTATTTTATTACTTGTATGTTCAATTTCTGACAGACAAGCATTTTTGATGCTAACGTGAATGTAAAACGTTTGTGCAATTTTTGCACTCTTAAGAAAACGCGAAGCGAAAACAAAATAATTTTGATTCAGAAAATTTTATTTTACTCGTAATTGATATGTTCATATTTTACTTGTGTGTTTAATTAACAAGAATATTTTATTTGTGGTAGTAGATGTAATGAATATTCATATCGTCTGAGGAAACTGAGGTGAAAACTGGAAACCTGAGGGACCTAAGTTTTCACGTAATCTTTGTTGTTGTTATTTCACCTCTTCCTACCACTTAATAATCAGTTTCAAATAAATGAGATGCAACCACTTACTTCCTCATTCACTTCACTGCCATGGTGATAGTTTGGTACGTCCTCTTGCCGATTCATGGCGAAAAAATCATATAATGTGCTCTACTGTGTTTCGTATAATAAATTATACGTAATGAATTATATAAATATAGTAAATTTGCTTTTATATAAATGTTTAGGATTTAATATTTTAAAGTAATTTGTTTTGAAATGTTTAGCCAGATGAAGGAGACAACCAGTCCCCGAGACTAGCAAATCACGACGAGACCCGAAAAATAAGAGAAATTTATGCAATTGTCTGTCTAGAAAATTATTTGGAGGAC